GGGGACAACTTTCCCACAGTCCATTTTAGTGATTTCTTGTGGAGATGCTTCAGCCGTGTGTTCCACTGCAACTTCAACTTGTAAAGAGGTCTTTTCCTCCAACGGCTCCTCGGCGTTGTTTTGGGAATCTTTCTGATTACTCTCATTTTTCTCAGTGCTTTCACTCTCCTGTGGAACTGTGTCATCAAGTTTGGATTCATCATCAATTCCCTTTAAATTTTCACTGACACTGGTATCACAAAGAGCGGGCTGATCAACCTCACTTACAGCATTAGGTGTTACTGTGAAAGTGTTTTCAGCGCATGGCGTCTGACTTCCTCCCTTTACTAGCGTCAAAGTCCAGATAAATTTTCTTCGTTTTTTCTTTCGAGACGTATTCTTCCCCGCGGACTGCGCATTGTATTTAGGGTTTCTGATCTTTATTAACTTTAAGCTTGGGACCCTCGTGTCCTCATTTTTCAAAGGCAAACTGTCACTGGGTTGCACAGCTGAGTTATCAGTCTCTGACAATGACAGACCTTGGTTTTCTGGCACTGTATCGTTTTTATTCAGCCTCCTGCTTTGCCTTCGTCTGTTACTTCCCGCTAATGGTTTGGCCTCTACTGTCCGCGAAGCTTCTGACTTGGACGCTGCTACAACAGCATCACTTGTACTCAAACTTTCCGCTGCAGGTGCGCTCACCGTGGCTCTTTTAGAGAGTGGGTTTGTGACTCTATTGCTCCTACGAGTCACTAGTTGATTAACTTCAGGACCCTGGCCAGCAGCAGTTTCCTTATGCTTTAATTTCTTTGCATGTGATTTTGGCTCTACAGTCCCGCTCTCTTTTACAGAATCAGGTTGATCAACAGATTCTTTCTCCTTTGATTTTTGGTCACTAACCACAACTTTGGCGCTAGTCTGGCATACAGGCTCTGTTGTTTTTAAAGCAGATCTCCCACGCCTTCTCACAGGTACCGTCCCCCCTCCTTTATCTTCTGTGCCATGCTCATCCTCTTGTGGTTCAGCTTTTAATTTGACATGAGCACTTAAAATCTGGTCACCCTCAATGTCCTTGGTTTTAGGCTCATCCTGATCTCCTTTCATCTTCAACTTCTTTGCAGATTTTTTCTGAGGCTCCTTTACAGTTTTGATTTTCTTTTTGGCCACCAACTTTATAGTAATCCTCGGTGCTGCTGATGAAGCCCTGCTCTTGGCGGGCTGTCGATCCAGGGTGCTTTTTCCTTTCGAACCTTTCTTGCAATCTTTTGCTGGTTTTGCTTCGAGGGACACGTCGTGCATTTGCTCCGAAGACTTTACATCTTTTATCGGGTCAGGTGGTGCAGCTGCCTTCACTGCTGGCGTTTTAAGCGGTAGCTTCTCACTTTGACGTTTCGATTTTGTGTTGGCAGCATCACCTGCAAAACAAAGGTATTAAATGAACACAAAATCATCTGACAAAACTATATAGAAAAAATATATTATATTGCATTTCGTGCTTAATTCATTTCCTAACTTGTGGGTTATTTACAAATAACACCAAATATTTCATGAGATTAAATAACAGCTTGGTCTTTACCTTTGGAAGAATTTTGTTGAGACAATATGGGTCCCTTGGAACCTTTTGTCTCAGCTTCAAATCCTTTGAAATCATCCCCCTTGAAAAATAAAACCGCAATTAACACTTGAAGCCGCTTTGCACTTTGCTGGAAACTGTTAAACCATCAGGATAAACAATAACTAAAGTTTTAGGTCTGAGTGCAGAAAAAAAAAAATCCTTTGCATGCACATGCTTTTAACACGTAACACATTAACAAATCAATATATGTGGATCATAGCATATCTGAACAAGGGCTTTTCTAACAATATAGCAAACAAGTCTGACTTTTTAAAATGAAACTCATCAATAGTACATGACTGTTTTGCTCTTTCTAAGTAAAGGTTGAAACCAACTACTGTCATTCATCATGGGTTGTTATACAGATATCATAAATGCGTTGTGCATTAGTAACAGCAACAACAAAAAAGAAAAAAAAACATGTGGCTGAGTAGGAAAACTTCCTATAATGTTATTACATAATATAGACCGTTTACTACCTAATGCAACAAGATTTAACAACAGGTTTAATATCAATATCAAATGAGCAGCTACGGAAAAAAAACTGCTGGTAAATCTTGCTATAATTACTATTCTCTTTGTACTGTACATCCCCATACCCACAACTGGGATCTTAACTCATAAAACAGCGCCACTCTTACGAGCTGGCATTTTACTTAAACTTTATGAGGTGAGTTTGAACGCTTTCGATTCCAACAAGGTTGCATTTGACTTTGGCATACTTCTGCACCACCATTTAAACCTGACGTGTTTGGTGACATTAGCTAGCGGTTAGCAAACCCAGCCCTCCATAAAGCATTCAACCTAATTTGTGAAAGTTATCTATGTGGTACAAATAAGCTCCGACGTATGTGCGATTTTATTTAAAGTAACTACTCTGCCCGAGTCTATGCAGCGTGTTAGCAGTTAGCCACTGTGCGGGGTACGAAGGCGCTATCCTTCCCCTTCTTTGTGTTCACTATTAGCTAGCTAGCTGCTACTCTGGCCCTATAACGAGTGGGCCATACATGAAATAACTGAGACTCCTGATCACAAACTCGCGTTCCCGCATAATGTGTTTTTTAACAATTAAAACTCTTGCAGTTATGCATGCTATGACCCTTTAAATGTTTAAAATTTCTAGGAGCAAATTAAGCAACAGTGCTGCGGTGACTTGAACAGCTTTGCTGCTTTTGCTGAAGTGCTTATTTTGTGTTACGACTGTTCATTAAATGTAATGGAGAGCTCCACTGTGCTAACACTTAGCATACAGTTTTAGCTTAGCAAGCTTGAAGCTGAAGCTAAAGTTAACGCTAGCCTGAAGGATGTTGACATTTCTCCATGGTACTAAGCAGTCACACTGTTGTGCCTTGCTCTCTTTCTGGTGCATTAACGATCACACAAAATGTGAGAAGATGAAATAAAGATACTAACTCCTGGGTGGGTGTGGGACCTCACCTCTTCACTCCCACTAGAGCTGTATCCAGCCTGGCCAAGGATCTTGTGGCTTTCCTGTATTCCAAGCAAGCGCAAGTGAGACTGGTCTTCGTTTAACGATAGAACCAGGTTTGCGGGCCTTGGCCCTCCGTTAGTCACATCATCAGCTTCTAAGCCCGATCGCCCGAGTTGCCAACGCTTCTCAGAGCGCAAACGACTGCGTGATGACCAAGGCCGACCGGGAAAACGACCTCTGGCCGTAGCGGTTCCACCTTGGCCTCCTACGGCAGCCGCGGTTGCTGATCCGCATCCCGCTGCCGCCATCATTGCTTCAACAACAACACACACCGACGGCTAGCAGCTCGAGGAGAGACAAGAGGGAAGGCGCGAGATGGGAGGGGGGAGCCGCAGTGCTGCACGGGAAATTGAGTTCATTTTCCCACTTAGCGAGGGGAAAGTGACGTGTACATGTGCGGTTGTACGTCAAATTGTTATTTGACACAACTGGCTATGGTTTAAAATTTAAAGATTGCTTAGCTGTATATACTATTAAAACATAAAAAAAATAATTAAATCTCAAAAAATGGTCAAATGTTGTGTCTTTTTGCGTTTGAAGACAATTGGGATAATTAAATGGAACCTAACAGCGTTCAAGATCATCTTCAAAGCAGAGATGGCAACTTAGCACAATATTGTGAGTTTCGTGTTCATTTATTAGAGCAGTGACCGTCTTTTTTTAATCGCTCCATTTAACAGTATTGACAGAGGTAGCACTGAAATGAAATTTAATTGAAGGAGAACTGCGTTAAGGCTGCATAACTGAATGAATGTTTTGATAACTAAATGCGTTACATCTACCAGCATTCTTGACTATACACATAGTCAAACACTAGGTGGCAGTATGAATCCTTATTGCGATAATGAAAGGCTAACGATGAAGGTGTTTAAACCTTCATTCACTTAGTTTATTTATTGTTAATTAGGAATTAATTAACGGAGTTGCAGATCATGCCATATATAAGAGGACCTGGTTGATCAGGGTAAGAAATATAATATAATAATATAATAATAATAATAATAATAATAATAATAATAATAATAATAATAATAATATATATTATGCAAATATTCAGGTAACATCAGAGTTTTAAAAAAAAGGGTAAAGGTTCTTTAGTTCCGTTATCAGGGCTATATTTTTTTGTTTTTTATTTTGTATTACTATTTCCAAAAGTAGGTATTTTACATCCAACCCATGCACAAACAGAGAGCTGAATGAAATTAAACTCTTGAGTAAGTTGTTAAAACTTGCAAATGATAAGAAGGCTGTAAAATGAATTGCATTATTTGATCATTTTTTACTTATTTTGACATCAGCCCAATTTTGTTTCTACGATAAATTTGTATTTGAGTATCTATTTTCTCTTCTTAATATCTTATACTTTCTCTCTTTTTCTATTTCTATTTTATACTTATATTTTGAAAAAAAAGGATTGTCAGTGTTATTTTTCTGAAATGGCAGACACTGGGGCTAAACTACTCACTTAAACAGGACAGTGTAGAGGTGGCACTTTTTAATTTGTTATTTTAAAGAAAAAGGATGGGAGCAAAAGCACAACAGTGCTCAGAATAAAGAAAACATAATGCAGGGCAAATTGGAAAATGTCAAGAAAAGGATACACTGGAACAGATACTCTGAATTGAGCGCCTGTTCATTTCTCAGTTTACTGCAAGGGGTACTAATAGTGGCACTGCAGTACTCTGAGTTGTTTTTTTTTTAAAGGGACACGGGACTAGTTAATAATAATAATAATAATAATAATAATAATAATAATAATAATAATAATAATAATAATAATAATAATAGAAGGTGTTTCTATCGGTACCAGTGACCGTAGAAAATGTTTTTTTACGTTCTACAGGTTCTTTGTGGGATGGGAGCAGTCTCAAATTCTGTGATTGCAGAATCTGCAATCTGATGCACAGCCTAGTAGGTGGCGCTGAAACACCTCAGTCTTGGCGTTAGCCTTCGAAGAAGAAGAAGCTAGCGCTTGTGAAGAAGAAGGAGGAGGAAGTGTTGATTGTTTTGTTTTTCTTTAACTTTTGGCTGTGAAACGATAAGGTAAGATATTACATTATTACCTTAATGTACGATATTCATAATTTTGGATACACTCTATAGCGACATTTACCTAATCTGGAGAGTTAGTCTGGAAACTTACAGCAAGCGATTTTGTAACGCCTTTTTGTTACGTTGCTAAGCTAACGATTGCTAACTTTAGCCTGAGGTGAATTTTTCAGTCATCTGAGGAACTAGCTCAGCGGTCAAGCAGTAAAAAGCGGATTTATTATCGTCTCAGAATCAGCGGAAGAGCGTGTTTTAAATGTCTGTATAACAAGCATTCCTTTATTTGTAAAAAAAAAAAAAAAAAATTCTTTTTGGATGCTGGACAGTGCTAGTCCAGCACTGTAATCTGTTTTGTTTTCTTTCTGTGTGCAGGAACGTACAATATCACTATGAACCTGGAGCGACTGCCCAATGAGGAGAAGCTCAGCCTTTGCCGAAAATATTATCTAGGTGAGAGTATTAATATTAATCCTCATGTTCCTTTTTTATACAGTTGTACCTCCTATTCCTGTTTTATTTATTCTAGGTTAGTTACACTGGCTGTGAGTCCTTTTTTTCCAGTTAAGGCCAAATTTTGAACTAATGCGCCTAAAAATATTTCAGTGGTTAGTAAATGATTAGTTCTGTCAAATATTTTTATTTATTTCTCCAGGTGGCTTTGCGTTTCTCCCCTTCCTGTGGCTTGTCAATGTTGTTTGGTTTTTTCGGGAGGCCTTCTTAAAGCCAGCCTACACTGAACAGCTACAGATAAAAGCATGTGAGTTTCAGAACCTTTTAAAAATGTATTTAGTATTCAGTTTTGCACTCTGTATTCAGTCTTGTAGTTTTTTGTCAGTAGCTGTTCTTTGGATGTCACTTTTGTAGGATTAAATTTGTTTCCTCAATAAACATTCAGTCATGACATATGATATTGACAAAGGTTGTCAGTGTGAATTCCATGTTCATTTTACATGCTTGCACATTACCAAGTGTGTCTTCATCCTATTTAAAGAGTTTTGGGTAATACTGCACTTTTTATAATGCTTGAGAAAATGAAATAGTTTGTTTTTGTAGGAAAAGTTGACCAAGTAACTTTTTAGATCTGGTTGTTTTTTTTGTTTTGTTTTTACAGAAGTTGTATTCATCAATATACATGATCTCTTACCTAAAAGGGGAAAAAAGGATTTTAAAAATAAATTAGTTTTTAATAATATAGTAAGTACTTTTGCTATATTTATACAAATATAATTCTTATGATAATGTGGCCTTGTATAGAATAATTTGGGCTTAAATTCTAATTTTCTGATAAGAACTTGAGAAAGGTTTTACCCACTTTTTTTTTTAAAAACACTGCCCTATAACCATGTACGTATTGTTTGTTTTTAAAGCAATGCTTTAAGCAGCCAACTTGATACTGTACTGTGTTGTTTTGACCACTGTTGGACAGTAACTAATTTTATTGCTTGTTTTTCTGTCTGTCCGTCTAGATGTGAAGCGTTCGGCACTAGGGTTACTGTTATGGGTAGCAGTGCTCACCACGTGGATCACCATATACCAACACTTCAGAGCAGAGTGGGGGGAGGTGGGAGATTACCTCTCCTTTACCATTCCCCTAGGTATCCCTTGAGGTTGTTTTTTTTTTTCCCCCTCATTTCAACTGATTAGTCTTTTCAGTAAAACTAATGATCCACTGTAATGGGCCAAATTTTTTTTCTCCCTGAACAACAGTGAATGATTTTTGGCAGTTGTTTTCCTGGGTCAACTAAATCCAACTAAATGGAAGAGTAAATGTTACCTATCTTCACAAGATAAACAATGTAGGACCCAAAACCATTTCTGTGCTCACCAAGACATTTGAGTAAGTTATTTGGCTTTAGAGAAGGGTAATTCATCTTTTGAAATAGGCAATGTTTATGATCATGGAAATTTTGTAATGATAAGATAATGAACAACTCACTAATGTTTTTGGTTTTTTGTCTTTGAACTGTTTATTGTGCTATGGTATGATTGTGCACTATTTTTACTTCTGTGTGAATAAATAAAAAGTGTCCACAATGCTGCCAAGTTACAATCTTACTCAGTTGAATTTGGAAGTTGTTAGAATATTGTTATACCACTAAATGCACAAACCTGTATAGTTGTGTTTTGTTTTTTTGTCATATGTGATCAGTGAACTGTTTTGTCTCCTTATAGAATGTATATACCTCTCATTGTCACATATGCCAAATCTCCCAAAGCCCAGACGACCACTGGCGCCTGTTGTGAAATCCAATAAGTTAAGCCCTCCAAATGTCTCCACTTCCCTGTCATCCTTTATGAGTCATAACATTGAGAGCCAATTTTAGTCACAGTCCAAGCTTAAATGACACTGCTAACAGGGGGAAACGCGGCAACCATATATGACAGTTGGCTTCACTGAACTGCACTAAAAACAAAAAGCATTAACACAGAGGGTAGACTAAGTAAAGCAGGCAGTCCATTTATAAAACTGACTCATTAAATCTGATGTATTAGGACTGAAGTGGTTGAAAAGAACTAGTAAGTAGGTAAAATGTATTTATTCAGCACTTTTCACAGGTAAAAATGTTTCACATTAAAAAACCAGAAATAAAAATAAAATAATAATATAAAACAATAAAATGAAAACATAAAGCAACAAGTTCATTAAAAGATTGTCTGTATAGAAATGTCTTCAGCTGCTTTTTAAAAGAGTCAGTGGAGTCTGTACAGACGGTGGAAGAGAATCCCACAACCTCTGTGCCACTGCCTGCAAAGCCCGATCACCACGAATTTTGAAACTAGTACATGTGACCTACAGCAACCTCTGACCTGAAGACCTAAGTGTTTGGGAAGAAGAACGAGCTTTCAACAGGTCAGAGATATACCGGGGAGCTGACTATGTAGAGCTAAAAGTTAAGTTAAAACGAAAATTTTAAAGTGAAATCTAAAATTTTACTGGCAGTCAATAAAAATAAGCCAAAACTCGAGTAATATGCAATCTAAATGTATTTTATGATGTCTACATTATATTGCTAAAGGTCTAAAAAACCTCATAACTATGGGGAAGGACAGTGGTTTACTGGTAGTACACGTGCTGTAGCATGTGTTTAGCACGCCCCTGCTGTCACTGTCCGTCTGGTGTCAACCAACAAGGGTTAACGTCGTCTTTTGAATTTATTTTTGGACAAACCTTCCTTGACAACCAACCTTAGGCATACAGCTCTTAACAGCTTTGATAATTACACATGAATAGTCCGCGTTGGTGCCACTGACCGTGTAAAAAGGCTGCATGCTGTAACTTTGATAATGGCCAATAACAACGTTAATTAACAATAAGCCTGCAACAGCTGTGTCACTCTCAAAATAATAGGCCTACACGTTTATCTGTGACCATGCCGGAACACCCAAGGGTACGCAGTCCAGAACATAACAGAAGCAAGGTGTCCCAGGATGAATTCCCAACTTATTATGCAACTCCACTATAAAACACGCGGCACGCAACAAGTCAGTCTCATCCAGGAGCCGAGAGAGGAGAGAAGCACAGAGAACACAAGCGCTGTAACTAGAGCTCTTCTTTCCACTCCAGAGAATTTAAGCAAAGGTAACTGCTCAGTGCTTTATGTCTTGTAGCCTCGGGTGCTGTAGGCTTAACTGCTGTTTAGTCAGCTCTTGATTTTTCAAACTTTGTGCCTACTAGAAATGGACTTCATCCTGCCACCCACTATGCCAGCTGGTGGTATCCCCTGGGAGAAGGTTTTACCACCTCTTATTCCACGGCTCAACGGGACTTATGGACAATATAATTGGTCCCCAAAATTAATCATTCCAGAGACTGATAATGCCAGCGCTGCAGAGGTAGGTCACTGAATTTATTTACATTTTATACTAACATATGTTAGTATAAATTGTCCATGGTTCTCATTTTAACTCATTTTACACTGTGAACCACATACCCACTTAAGGTCAGGCTGTGGTGTAAAACCTTTGAAACTCCCCTTTCTGTCAATGTAAAGAGGTTTAACCAGCAGATATCCCTGATTTATCTTAGTATAAGAAAAAAAAAGAATTTAAACAATACATCTGATAAAGAAATCCTGCTGTAGTAAATGTAAGACATCTGTCATCAAGGCTCTTAAATTGTAAAAATTTAATGTGTAAAATTACAGAAAGAGTCCTGGTTGCTCATTGCACAGACTGTCCTGTAATAGTAACACTTTTTGCTTATTCATAGATTTATTTATTTTTAATACTTTAGTGGAGAAATAATGGCCACGGGGGAGGTATTTATCAGGAGTAAAAGCTGTTAAACCACCAAAAATACAGGTAAAAGTACACAAAAAAAAGTGTCCCCTCCACATTTTCAAAAGAAGTTCAGCGGATCAGACTGGAGTCTTTGTCAGGCCAATTCTGGCCCCTGGACATGTTTGACAACCCCTGGCTTAAAGTAAAAGGGAAAAAAAGGAGTCCTTTACATTTTTCTGAGCTTTCAGTCAGATCCACGTCTTATTGAAAAGGTGTTTTCAGTTTCCCCACACCGAAATATGGTTAAGGATATCTACTGAGTGCAGGCTGCTGTAAGGAACTTTATGTCTTGTTTAATCATGCAGAAGTGTTGACTCCTGTTGTTAGGTAACCTGTGATGACAGCGGATTTACAGTTCAAGTTGATGTGAAACATTTCAACCCAGAGGACCTGATCGTCAAAGTCATAGGAGACTTTGTAGAAGTGCAAGGAAAGCATGAAGAGAGAAAGGTTGGTATGCTGAGGTACATGGATATTTTTTCTCTATTTTTGTGCTACACATCTCACTTCTCATCTCTTTTGTGTTAGAAGGACGGTCCTGGATTTACAACACGGCAGTTTAACCGTCGCTACCGCATTCCAAAGAGAGTGGACATCATGGCTTTGGAGTCAGCGGTCTCTCCAGATGGGATCCTTATCATATCTGCACCTATGCTGCAAACTCAGAGCTACACACCTCTTACTTAAATTGCATTAACAGATGACACTAAAACCTCTGCCATCCTTACCGTACACAAAAATAAATCAGCGGAAGCCTTTATGGTCACACTGACAAAAATGGCAATAACTTCAAGCTCCTGCACTCCCAGCAGAACTTGGTATGTGCCAAAACACACATCTGCTCTGTTCCTGGCACAGTTCTAACGTTCCCTGCACTCCAAGGTTTGTATATAGTGCTCTGCTAATACTCAATGTTACATAATGTTTCAAGTAACCACTCTACTTTGTAAATATTCTCTGTTAGCATTTCCAACTCCTGCTTTTTGTGTGCAACTTTTGTACATGCACAGTGTTGTGAATAATAATCCACCGAGACACATCTCCAACCTTTATTGTAGAAAAATGTCCTCAAAAATATAAATTAACTTTATTTCTTTATAAAATAAAAAATAAATAAATGTGACTACACAAACTGTCTCTTGATGTTCTTCAAGTAACTTGTTGCTCTTCCACAAATTCATTTAAGATGGAGTCCACCTCACTAACAAAAAAACAAACAAACAAAACAACAACAACAACAACATAAAAAAAAAAATCATTCTTTTTCTGGCAATCGACTCTATTTACATGACTGTCAATTGATTCCAATAGATTATAAGAAAAAATTAATGCTAGAAATATAAACAGGAAAGGATTCTAATCATTACAGTAATGGTGATAATCTAATTCAGTTTTACCTGATCTGCTCCTTCACCCATTTTCTCTGTTTGCGAAGAACTTGTAACAAAGGATCATCTCCAAACTCTTTTTCATCCGAATCTAAAACAAAAAGTTTAATCTGAGTGAGAGGACAGATACTACAATATTATAAGCTTATGCTTAAAAAAGGATTGAGATAACAGGTTTTTTTCTATGTTAATTCCCATAACACAAAAAAAAGAAACACCAACAAAAAAAAAACTGTTGTAGGGTTTTTGAACTAAAAAGTTAAAATATGGGAAAAAGCATCTATTTACGTAATCACCGCAGCTGTTTACGGGCTAAAGACTGGTGCCTTTTGCCACCATAAGCTTACCTTCGGCCTCTTGCAGCAGCTGTGAAATGACCTCCATAGAGTTCAGGGCATTTCTTGGAGGAATTGGCGGTGGTGAAGGTGCAGAGACGGTGCAGGAAGGAGAATCAGATGAAACAGGAATCTTTTTTGGAGAAGAGGAATCCACCGTAGGAAACAGTACCTCTGAAACTACCTGTTAAGGTCAAATGAAAACACCCCAGTTAATGCATATTAATTACCTTGATCACATTGAACCTTATGACTAGTGTGGCATCTAAAAAAGATGTGCGGACATGCATAGTGAAGGTAGACCTGTAATTATATTCAATAAAAACTTGTGTGTATTTTATTTAAATATTTCATATGCAGTCTTCTAAAGACCAGATCTGTCGGTGGCCTTTACAAATGATTAATTAAGATTTGTAAACAATCATAAATTGCCAAAGTCTGAGAACAAACACACAGCTTTCTTTCACTTTATCAAATATACTGCAGAGATGTCACAAATGTGGGAGAAGAGAAAAACCAGAAAAGACCAAATATGCACACAGCCTCCGTGGCTTCAAATAAAGAAATAACACTGAACATTTGCATGTTTACCTGTCCTAATGCATTGCGGATAGGAGATGGTGGTGGTTCATGATCACCAGCACAGCTTTCACTGGGAAGCTCTTGTCTTCTCTCTGGTTGCTGCTGCTCTTTACATGATGTGACCTTTTTGGGAAGCTTTTGATGTAATGAATTCCTGTTTGTGAAGAATAAATCCCACAAAATGTTAACGGTATCAAACACATATTTTTTTATCACTAAGACTTTTAAACAGTGCCCATATTTCAATAATTTACCTTGCTGATTTCTTTTGCTGTCTAGCAACTGCTGCTTCCTCCTTCCCATTTACCTCTGATTGCTTCATCCCCATTTTCTTTTTCTTGTTCTTCTCAAACATTTTTTGGTGATCAGGCCACTCTCTCTCAGATGGCGCAGGTAGAGTGAGTGACACGCGTTCACAAAGAGTTAATTCTCCAAGGCTTTCAGGGACTTGGGTCTTTTTGTGAAGAACTTTGGTTTGTGACTCGTCTAACCTTTGTGAAATGCTCTGGTGCACTTTGGCATGAGATGACTGGATGGGACATGGCAAGACGTCACAGAGAAAATGCATGTGGGAAGGAACATGGGCAATGCTCTGCAGCTGAGGGACTGAACCAGAAACATTGATGGTGGGGAATAGCGAAGGGCCTGGAGCTGGGGGACAGAACCTCTGGGCCTCAGTGGTTTCTGGCTGGGCAGCAGTGATGTGTGAATGAGTATCTCTTTGTGAGAATTGAGGGGGTTGGGTACCCTGCTGTTCCTGAAGAGCAAATTAATGTTATTCTGTAAATTTGTGCAAAGAATATGGATAATGTAACAAACAGTTTGATTCCAACCTTGTAAGCTTGTTCACTGATGGAGGGATAGCTTAACCTCATGGACTGCCAACCAAATGCATGAGGACTGGAGGCTTGCACAGACAGGGGCCTCTCTCTGGCTTGTTCCATTTTCCTCCTTAAACGCCACTGGAACAATATGTCTTCCTCTGGACGGGTAGGAGGCACCAAAGAAGGCATGACAGATTTTTGGAAGGACACACCATGAGCTGAGTCTGAGCTGGCCTTTGCTGTAAATGTTAACACACAGTTTAAAACACAGCAGCACGCAAAATAGAATCTGTCTATAAATAACAAAAGGTATTCTAGTCCACACTCTTCCCCTACCAGTAGTATTTTTGAATAAACTGGGAATCAAAGGTTGCTTCACTGGCTCATCTGTACTGATGGGAGAGGAGAAATCTGAGCATCCCAGCCCCTCTGAGCTGACAGGGACAGATCCATCACTCACAGAACATTCACTGTTAGAAAAAAAAAAAGTTACTACAACTGAAGCCATTTATCTTTAATATTGCTCAACGGTTTTCATACCCCCTCAGAAGAAGTCTGCTGGCCTTTTCTTGAAGGTGCAGGATCTCCCTGTCATCAAATTCACCCTGTGATGTGTCGGACAAAAGCTGGGAAACAAAAAACATGTTTTTTCATATAAAGACTTGCAATACCGTGTAAATAAATCCTCCCAAATAAATAAACACGTTTGCAGGATTTTAATTAAAAGGGTGATGCATTTGTTCTTAGCAGGCTGAACAACGTGTCAAATCTGGTTGCATAAACGGCGACTTCCCAGGCATTTAATAAACACATAGACTTCCAAATGGAGTGTGGTGCTGAAATGGAAATGTTTATATGCAAACTTAGTCAGAATAAAGTGTTGCTTCTGCAGACAATCAGAATCCCAGGCACTTTGGACATGTGTGGTGTAAATCAAGGGACAATGTAAACCCTATAATCCACTGTGACAGCATACACAAACAATAAAAACTGAATAATTGGTGGTGCCTTTCCCCCCATCTTATGGATCTGTTATTTTTTTTCAAGAAACAGAAGCAGATTTGCTACAAAAATTGATACATTATGGCTTATTTCTTCTTAGCTTATAAATACAACTCACACTATTGGATCCTCTGTAGGGAGAAGGGGATCTGTTATGGTCACGCCGTGCAGATGGATCATAAAGAGCAGCATCCTGGTCCTCTTTCAGAAGTTGGATAACATCTTTTCAGAGAAATGCAGTACACAGAAGGATTCGATAGAATTAAGCAGCTGGTAACGGGGAATAAAATACACCAATGACTGTAAATATAGTGCACCTTCGTCTGTTGTTTTAGTTGGTGTTGAACTGCTGAGAGATGAATGTGACATCCACCAAAAAGGTGCCTGCTCTTCTCCACTGGCAGAGGCCACCTGATGGCGCTCCTCTCGACTCTGTGGCTGACCATGGCGAAAACGCTCTACATATCTGACAAAGCAAAGGTCAGATTTAGTTAAAAGAAGTCACATGCAAAATGAAATAAAAATAATCTGGGTCACTATGACATTGTCATCTAATCATGAAAAATTGTCACTGTGAAACTATTTTTTAGTTGTGTTTAAGAAAATTACAGAAGGCATTAAAACATACTTTGCCAGCAAAGAATCCTCCTGGCATCCTTGAACTTGGGAAACACTGGAATTCCCCCTTTTTCCAGATTTTTTGGGTTCGTCCATGTCAGATAAGGCAGTATGTCTATCAGGAGAGAATTCAAAGACAGTGGAGGCCTGGGAGTCTTTAAGAACAGGTTGTCCATCAATGGAGGAAAAACGGTAATGCTTCTTAGACAGCTGCTGGCTGTCTTGGTTTAGGTTATGTAACTTTGTTCTGGATTGCTGGTTTAAACGTACAGGACTTAGTGTCTGCAAGAAGAACTAGATAGATAGATAGATAGATAGATAGATAGATAGATAGATAGATAGATAGATAGATAGATAGATCAATGAAAATCTGTTTTTCTTGCAGTATATTAAGCGTTTTTGAAAATAAAACATACAGTTTTTTTCTCTTTCTTTGAAAGGGGTTGGTTGCTGGATGGGTGGTAGTGTGCCGTCCTCACTTTCGGTGCTGGTGGGAAGGGATTCTGCTTTGTGAGCACAGGTCCACTGTAAGAAGAACACATATTACCAAATATAACTTCTTCTGTTTAGGGTGCTACAAAATGTGTCATTAGATCCTCACCTGGAATTCATAGCAACCTTTGGAGGTGACCGATGAGACATCAACGACCACAAGAAAGCACACACAGTTTCAACGTGGGCTTGGTTTATCTCGGGCACCCCAAATCATATCTGGACTGAGGTGTTAATCTGAGTGGGTTACTTAGCTAACAAAAAGACGATGCCCCCATTACTAAACTCTTCCGAGTTTACTTGTCTACACACAAAGTTACTTCAAATGCCAGAAATTCCCTTTAAGAATATAAATTACGCTTCTCCGTTAGCCTCTATGAACATCTATTTATCATTCAAATTTCACGTTCTGACTAAAAACATAGTAACTTCGCGTTTATTTTACAAACCCACCACATTCTCGATGAAAGTGGAAGAGAGCTTTTGTTGTGTATCCCGAACGTTATTTACTACACGACATACAGCCAATAGGGAACGAATTAAAAATGATTGATATAACATTTGACCAATCATATAGGCGGCCCGGTTTGCACAGGCACCAATCAGCTAATAGGAAATTGGAAGCGCGCGGAAGAGGAAAGTCTAGTAAGGGTATGCGTTTGTCAAAAATAAGCTAAGTTAGCAACAGTAGTTTGGCCATTACTCCACAAACCTTGGTATAAATCATAAACGACTATTGTGCTGTATCTTTCTATTAACTATATGGAAGTCGATAGGGATAACCGTTATTTGCTTAATGGTTTTAATAGCTAAACGTAAATAACGTTATATAGCTTAACTGTTAACCAGTGGTTACGGCTAATGCAGCTAACTGTTTGTAAACGGTACTACACAGCTAGCTTGGCTAACGGCGCCGTTAGCAAGGAATCAAACATAATTTATTGTAAATCTAAATAATCGAAACAGGAAAAGAGTGCTTTTAAAAGTCCGTCAGTTCCCACGGGGTGTTTATAGAAAGGCGGACACAATGCAACACGTCAAGATCAAGACGGAAAGGCCAGGTACCAGCAGCTGTCAATATTTCCTTTCCTTTTCCGTTTCAGATTTTCCAAATTTTTGTGTGGTATAAATTCTTGTGATTGTTTTGGAGTACATTCGCTTGTAAGCTTGAGTGGTTCGGATTATACAGGATTATACAGGATTCTTAAAAGCTAAGTAATACAGGTGGCGAGTGAGTATTGTTGTTGTCATTAATTATTTCATTATTACTTTTGCAGACTTAGACGGGGCTGGTGCACGCAGCAAATTAGAAGCTGTCTTAAAGGGACTGGTAGAGAAGAGTGAAAATGAAAGGTTAGCAAAATTAATTGTTTTGCATATAATTATTACAGAATCGATTTATTCTTAATAACAAAACTAATATAAAGATGTTTTCAGCAGAGAACAAAATGAAGGTGACCCAGGAAAATTGTCAGCAGACTCTTTGAACAAGTATGGACCAGTGATTTTGGTTTTATTTAGTTTTTAATGATCTGCTAATATAATATTTTACAATTGGGTGTGCTGATTCAATGATTTATTTTTTAATTGCAATTTATGCATATTCCACCTGTTGTCTCTAGGGATTTATCGCCAACATCGGCTGGAAAAAGGCAAGTGTTTATGTTTTAATTAAACTCGACTTGTCAGTAACTTTTTTCTATTTAGTAAGTAAAATTTTATTTATATAGCACCTTCCAAAACAAAGATCACAAAGTGCTTCACAAAGAAATACCAGGGCATTCAAAACAGGGTATATTTAGACTTTTTTTTTATCTGTTTGTCTGGAAATGAAAATATAATTTTACGTAAATTGTATGAGAAATTACTTTGAATCTCTTTTAAGCTCCAAAAATATATTTCTTAAAAAAACATTTCTTTTGCAGACCGTCGGCTCGATTTCCACAGCACCGGAGAAAGAAGCGAAAAGAGATGGATGAGAGCATTCCAGAAAGCAATCAGCATAAGCAAAGTAAATGAATGAAAAATGATTGGAATTTTTCTTTGATGTACCTTGGTTACTGTGTAACCATCTTGTCTGTTGCACTTGTGACCATTTTCTTACCTTTAATTAATTTTTCTCTTGTTCTGCCTTTACTAGATGCTTACGTTATTAAGTTGTTTGACCGCAGTGTAGATCTGGCTCAGTTCAACACCGCCACCCCACTGTATCCTATCTGCCGTGCATGGATGAGGAATAATCCTTCCGTTCGAGAACCAGCTGCTTCCCCCAGCTCCCCACAGGGCATGGTAGAGGAAGAGGTGGGGTCATAAATGGATAAGATGCTGGAGGTTTTATTCAAATGTGCAACCAACAAATGCACAAAAAAACACAGGGGCACATTGATTTAAATTTAAACTTATCTCTTACATCTACGGTAACTTAAAATGAGGTCTTTTAAATTTTGCTAATGTGGAACTTTGCAGGGTAGAATGTAAGGGCCCTTTCGCATAGGATGTGGCACGTGCAGCTCTGCGCTCTTAACCCCATTCATTTCTATTGCTTGCGCCACACATTAACGTTGTACCGCTGTGCCAACCAAAGCTCTGAGCAAAGCACAGCCCAAGCGTGCCAGCGAGGGGTACTCATGCATGCAGCGATCAAAGTTCAAACAAGTTGGACTTTGACCACTGCGTGTTGTGACTTACCTTCACGTGACCAATAGAAACGATGCCTACAGATGCTCTAAGTTTAACCAAATAATGAAGGGAAACATTCTGTGCGTATCTGAGTTCTGTGAATTTTTTGGCACAGGTTTATGTGCATATATAGTGATCTATAGAGCCTTTGAGTAAGTAATTCATTTCAACGACTCTGGGAGCCTAAGAGGAAAGCAGTGTTGAGGAAACGACACACTCTTCACTAGTAGGAGAGTTACAAAGCTTGTTCTGACGATATGTCAGAGACAAGTCAGAGACATACATGTTTTGAAATGAAAAGGAGCAGACGCATCTAGTGTATGTAGAGCGGCCACAAAAGATGACACACAATCAGGGCGCAGTAACCAGTGCAACACATATTTGGGGTCCTTCGCTCTAGTTAGCGGTTAGCACAGGTCATGCCACATCTACTATTAAAGGGTCTTATCTCTTTTGCAGTCTCATAATTTGATTATTATTAATATTTCACAAGGTCTAATGTAATTAAATTAATTGTTTTCAAAGTAACTGCAGTACGCTGTGTGCCAAACTATTGTCTCCTTTTGTTTTCCCTAGTGCAAATGTAACTGACTTGTTACACATGTTTCAATCAACGTTATCTGAATAAGACATAATGAAACTGTTTTTAATGGACGATCCCTACAGTGACAATATTTTTGAGTGAGGTTGTTTGTGAGAGGAAATGGTGCATAAAATGTATTTGAAACCTGATTGAATCTGATTGTGTACTCGTACTTTTGTTTTAGTCAATGCCTCCCCAAAAACAAAATGGCATGTTATGGCATCAATAAGTATTGTTATTGGAAATAAGCGTTTAGCAGTAATCTTTTTTTTTTTTGCCCTAGGTTACAGACACAATCAACGGTAAAGGTCAGAATGTGTACCGACTTCCTCCTCCGACCGCCTGTCCAGTCAACTCCTCTGGTGAACCCATCAATCTCAGGATCCCGCCTACTGAAAAACCAACTGTTACCAAGGTTCTTGTATAATATGCCTTTCACCAAAGTTATTATTGCATTGTGATTTGTTTAATTTTACAGATCTGTTCATACATGAAGGTCTTCAGGTAGTAAGACAAAACCATGAATTTTAACTACCTCTCTTTTCACAGTTGACAGATGTTGCTGTGTCAGGTTCTCTCATATGTGACCACATGGAACGTTGGAAAAAGATAAGGCAAAAGTATGTTTTTCTTGAAAAGTCATTTATGACAAAAAATAATATGTTCTTGGTTTGAAATGATTTAGCCACACACTGTAAACAACTAACTTTGTTCAAGGCTTCACCTCTGGACGTACTTATTCAGATGTTATTAATTTCACCAACTCTTTAGGGAGAAAGGGGTGTAACACTAATGACCAGGTACAAATGAGTGAAGGCAAACGTCAAATCTTTTAATGGATAATGAAAAGTTTTTACAGTGTGATTTACCACAAGAGGACAGCAACAGGCTGAATAGAGCTAACAAAGAAATGAATAAATGAGGCTATGAGCTGTTTTGACTAACTGTGGAAATCCAAATTATAAGATTAATAGATTATGTAATACATGTTTAAAATAATAAATTAATATTTAATCGTCTAAACATAAACATAAATAGCATTTTTTTTTTAAACAAAAAACTTTTTTCCTTGTTATGTCAAGGTGTCAGCTCAGCATAGAGCTGTGTGTGGTACTGTGGTACAACCAATGTGCCTGTGAAGTAAAACTGCCTCACAAAAACAACATTTGTCAATAACAGACAGTGTAGTTATTCTATGCATTTTTTTAATATAAAGGATTTTAAGTATTCCTGAAAGACACCTATATGTTAACTGATCATATTTGGGCTCAAACAGGTGGATTTGTGAAGTTAGTCATTGCACCTTTCACAGTTTGATTTCACAGCTTGTGCAAAGCCAGCCAATCAGCATGTTCAGTGACTCTAGAAAGTCAAAAGAAAGAAAGAAAAGATAAAACAAGGGCACAGGTTTTACAATAGACTGAGCCATGGATATTGAAATGTAAAAATATGACCTTCAATAATGCTCAGACTTAAAGTTCATCTGCCAGTGTTTACTCTGTTCAGTGTCTTTGGTGATTGACGAGCTGTCGTCTTGTGGGTATGAAGTAGTCTTTGTCATGGGACCCAAAATATAGCTTTGCAAAGTTTGATCCTCCATGAGTGCCACCTGCTGTTTAATAACTTTATTGAATTAAGAAGGGAGACTAAACAGTAAAATTTAGTATGTGCCTGTTTCATTTGGAAACAGCTGGACAAAAGGAGCGATCACAGTTGAGCAGTTGTATTAAAATTACTTCAAAAGGCTGGCTCATAAAAATTGAACATTTAGCCCACCTCTGAACTACCATTCCTCCTCCTTCTAATATTGTTATTGCTGGATGAAAACTGTGTATGAATTTTCAGTTAGAAATGTTCAAAATCAGATTTTGTTATGTAGCAAGCATCATGTATGAAAGTTTTTATGAATCTTTTAAGAAGGAAAATAATATAATTTCAGTTTATTTCAAGGAAAAGGTAAAAGGTGCACAATTGAACTATTTCTTTTTTCTTTTCTTTTTTTCCATAGATGGAAGGAGTGCTCCAACAAGAATCAATTAAGATACAGTGAGAGCATAAAGGTCCTTAAGGAAATGAAGGAGCTCTATGATCACTGACTGGCTACTCTGTAGCTCTCCAGTACAGAGAGGACTTTGTTGGAAAGAAGCAGTCAGTGCTTGAATGCACCTGTTTCTACACAGTCTGACTCATAGAAAAGCGTGTACATTTTTTTTATTTTTTATTAATTTGTAAAAATCTAGTGGATACATCTAACTGTTTCATCAGTAGTACTTTCCAGACACAATGACTTGTAAAATCTCAAGATTAATGAAATGTGTATTAAAGTGCTTTAATATAAATCTCTTCCACTTTTGGTTTTACTTCTTTAATCTTGGCATGTGTTAACGAGCATCCTGCAGGTAATGAGGTATATATCATGACTCATTCTTTCATTTGTATTCACGTCACACTTATAATAGTCATTGATGAAGTACCAAAACCTGCTTATGTCTTAAAATTTGCATGTCATTTTGTATAGAGTAAAATACACAACTGTGCAAAATTCTTGAGCCACTTTTCATAACTTTATATTTTGGACTCTCTTAGGCAAGCTTTCTTGTCATTTCTTTAAGTAGTCTCCAGGTGTAGTTCTCCAGGCTTCTTGAAGAACATTCAAAGCTCTACTTGGGATGTTAGCTGTCTTTTTCATCTGTTCACTGTCAAGATGATCCCACATTGCTTCAATATTGTTGAGATCTGAGTTCTGGTGAGGCCAGTTCCAGTGCCAACAGTTTTTTTTCTATCCAGGTATGCTTTTACTGATACTTTTATCATGCTGAAAAATAACGCTATGAGAATTGCATGCTTTCCAGGTGATATTGCAAGGCGGATCAAAATTTCATGGCACATTTCTGCGTTCATGTTTCAGTTTTGACAAGATCGTCACGGCTACTGGTGGTAATGCAGCACCAAGCCATGGCGGGGCCTCCACTGTGTTTTCTATGCTGAGTGGCTAGAAACACTGTTGTGAGACTCTAGGCCCCCGTCCATGAATATTGACGACCATTTGAACATAAAATGTTCAAATTTGGATTCTTTACTTCGTAAGACCTGTTGTCACTGTTGTTGCTTTTCAGTCTAGTTCTTGTCTAATTTGGCATACCTCTGCCTTTTATCCCTACTTCCCTTCTTTAAGGACGGCTTCTGACAGCTACCCTTACACTGAGACCATTTCTGATGAAGTTTCAGTGAACAGTAGATGGATCAACTGAAGGGTCCAATACATCTCTCAGGTCCTGTGTCAGGTGTCCTGTGTCCTGCTCGATGTTTTCCACCAGTTTTTTAAAGACATGACTGTTCATCTTCTGCAAATAGCCTATTTACACCTGCCAATTCATTATTTTTTATTTTTACTTTTAAGGACAAATAATATCACATCTATAGTTCAGAATATCTTAGTTCAGAATATCTTGCCAGCTACAGTTCTTTTGCAAGACTTTGGCACTCACAAGCACAATTACAGGGACACCTGAGAGGGGTGAATGGGAAGAATAGCGTGTTTGTTCTGAATCAGTGTGGTGCTTTATTATTATGTGTTAAGCAGGTTAACCAGTTAACTAGGTTCAAGCACAAGGTTGCTTATAAGTGTGCTTGGTGTCAGTTCCCCTTTAGGCCAAAGGTCAATGATTGACTTTATAGTTCTGTCATCTGAGGCCTTGTCTTGTGGATACTTGGGTAATGTGACTAGCAATGGTGAACTGGATTATATGATGGTGAAGACTGTCTGGGCAGACCTGGAAAACCTAAATGGGAAAATTTAGGAGTGTCTGGCAGATGCCCCAGTCCATAGGGTTTTTCACTCCATGTTTAAGACCTCTATTGCAGAGCCAGCAAGCAGAGGTTGTATTTATAAAGTTATTGGTGCCTGTTGTGGTGGCAACCTAAGGATGAGATGTACTGCTAGGTACTAGTGGTTTACACTGGTCAGGGTAAAGGACGAGGATTTCTAGGCCTGGTTGACCCTTGGATCTTCTGAAGCAGCAGATGGGTAGCGAAGGGCCAAAAGGGCTGTGGTTTCTGAATTAACAGAAGTAAAAACTTGTGTGAGTAGGTCAGGAGGACTTTCAGCTTACCTCAAGGAGATTCTGACAAACTGTTGGGTTAATACCACAAGAAAAAAAGGGCTTTATTCAGGTCATGTATGGTCAGTAAGGACAGTTGCTGACAAAGACTGTGGAAAGATAACTTTGAGGAATTCCAATTCCCAATCAAGATATCCTCTATGAAGAGAGCAGAGGTTGCTGAGAAGCTCCCCAGTGGCAAGGTGCAAGGTTTGGATTGAGATTCCTCTCGGGATGCTAAAGGCTCTGGGCATTGTCGGTTCTTGAGATCACTTGTGACTTTGGTCACAAGGTGGCAGCATTGTGAAACACAGTAGTTAGAATGTGCACATTGGTCTATTCGGGGCTGGGGCATTTTTGGTCTAGGCAGCCCATCATGATTGTATTTTGTAACTTTGTAATATAGTGTGTTATTTAATTTACTTTAGTTACTGTTCTTACTGACTTGGAGCAACTGTGACCAGTGATTCCTCTGGGATTAATAAAGTACTCTGATTCTGATAGATTAAAATGAAAATTTTCCAATTTCAATTAGATTGATGAAAAGACAGTGAGGGCTTCTAGTACTACTGTTGTTGGTGCATCCCGAACAGCTAACTTCGCATAATCGGACACATTTTTCTTCATCTACTTTTAATTTTGTTTTCTTGTTTACATTTTTACTGATACCTTTTCACTTTTAAATTTTTTTTCCATCTTTATCAACTACTTCTTCCACGCTAAGTTCCGTTCTACCAGGTGTTCTACAAAGATTATATATTTATTCATATTTGTGTGTGGACTGGATCATGTGCTTGGGAGTCTTCAAAAGTTACACACACATCACTGCACACATTTGTCAAGCTTAGTTTATCTTGTGGATTATATTGTACACATTCTTCTCCTTTCTTAAAGGATGGTCCAGTGTATCTCGTGCTAAAGGAAGCAATCAAGAGAGCGATGAAGTTCATCCCACAGTAAAAATACATGCAATTAGTAGGGTTATGTTAATTGGTGGCTCTAAATTGCCCATAGGTGTGAATGTGAGTGCAAATGGTTTGTGTTAGCCCTGTGAAAGACTGGCCATATACCAACGGTGTACCCTGCCTCTGTGTGTTACAGTTCAGTATTGATTCTCTTGTTAGGCAAATGCTCTTTAAAACTCTTTTTTTTTTTAGCAAAAACATTTCAATGTTTTTTATCTTTTAGTCTTAGAGTGGTAATCAAACTGACGAGTATCTTTTTATTTACAGTGTTAAAGTGAAAAAAAGTGCAATAAGTGTTAATAAATCTATTATTACAGTGTTGGAAAGTGCTGGGAAGTAACAGAATACATGTACCAATGTTACATATTTAAATAAAAAAATATGAGTAACTGTATTCTGCTACAGTTACCATTTAAAAAGATTATAAGATTATAATTATAATACAGTTACTTTGTTGAAATAAATTGATTACACAGCGGCCTTTTCTTGTTTCATATGTTAGCCTATCCCCTCTTTAATTTTGGTAATTCCACGCTTTGTTAGAAACCCAAACAAACATGAGTAAGATGCTCTAATGTAAGCGTCCTGTTAATGTTGCCGGAGTCCGTAACACAATGGACCCGGAGCCAGCACAACAAAGCCAGCAGTGCACGGGCAGGAATGCATTCTCTACTTGGAAATTCCGACGCAATTTCACATTTAAAGAAGAAAGGGATGGGCGAAATCTGACTGTTCAATGCAAACTGTGTTTGCCAGCAACCAAGCTTCTCTCAGGGTCAAAAGACTCCAACTTAAAGACACATCTGGAAGCAAGTTCTTAAAAAAAAACAAAACTAACATTAGTTTACTGCAACTACCTTGTTTTAGTTGTGGTAGCCACCTAGTTATGAGCCACCTCAGTATCTTCGATGTAGTATTGCTGTGTGATTTATTACTATTACTGAAGGCTACTCGGCACTGAGCTAACATTATTAGTTGGCTTTAGCTGAGGTTAGTTCATAATAGACTGCAGACTGTTAGACTTGATGGATAACTTTAACAACCTGGTAGCTGCAAATAATCACGTGCAGTTCTGAAAGCAGACAAAAAGAAAACATATTACTGATACAGAAATAGTTTTCTACGCCCACCCTACTGTTGCTCATTTTATATTAATTAATTATATAAATTAATATGTTACTCATATTATATTATTTAAAAATCTAGTTGGTATTGGTATGACGAGTAGCCTTCAGTAATATTAATAAATCACACAGCAATAGTACATTCATGTAGTTGTAAAAAGCATGATAATGTATTAAACAATACAAAATATTCAGGATGTGTTATACTCTCATTGAGTAACTTAACAGAATACGTTACAAATTACATTCTGGGGCATGTATTCCGTAATCAATAGTTTAATAAATTTTTAAAAGTAACCTTCCCAACACTGGAAATGGATGCTGATACTAATAAACATGGCCTAATAAGCTCAAACATGAAAAAGTTATGTACACAAATAGAAAACTTATTAAATGTAATCTTGAAAGTCTAACAAAAATTCACATAAAAGTCACATTGGTTTTTTTAATCAATAAATTAATAATTACAACCCAAAGCTGCAGCACTTCCACATAGTTTTTCTGGTACTAAGATTGATCAGAGAAGTAGTAACTTTTCTTTCTTACACTTGAAGAGAGTACAGTGAGAGTACTCCCTGCAATAGTAAGAGCAGTTAAAAGTAAATCTGTGCTTTAACATGAAGTAACGTATTAACACAGTTCTGTGCATGAGTGCACGATTTAACTCAGTTTGATATGAAATAATGTATTTCAGTTTACATTGGCTGATGTTGAAATCTTATTCAGTGTTCGGTGTCTCCTCTGTGATCACTTTGCTTTCTGTGAAGGATTTCAAATCAGCCGTGTCCGTCCTATTTGAAGTTGCTGCAGCGTCTGACTTTTGGAAAGTCTTTAACAAAGTTAATGACATGGAGTGAGTGGACATAAATGATATGTGGTCCTCTGCCAGAGCACTCTCAAGTACAAAACATATGGACTGCCGAAGCTTCTTCATGAATTCTTCACACATGAAAACATAGAGGATGGGGTTCAGGCAGCTGTTCAGAAAAGCCAGACTCACAGTCAGAGGACCCATGATTCTAACAATGTTCCTGAGATCTGGGTTAGTTGAAGCTGGTTCTATGAAGTTGAAAACGTGGAAGGGTAACCAGCAGATGAAGAATGTAAAAATGATGGCGAAAATGATTCGACAGGATCTCTGTCGCCTTGTTCTCGGCATGCGCATTGCACGGATGCCTATGGCTACATAAGTCACAAGTATTACCAGGAATGGAATCACAAAGCCCATAAGAAAGCGAAAAGTATATAGACTCCATGTTGATTCCTTGCTTGTAAAATTATAGTGACAATAATGACTCCCATTGCTTTCTGAAACAGTGCGAAAAGTGGCATAAGGAGTGCTGCAGACCGCAGCAATCATCCAGATACCAACACATATGAGCTGAGCTTTGCAGACTGTGCGCTTGTTGTGGGCCCACACCACCACCCAGATGGACAAATAACGATCCAAACTCATCACCATCAGAGTAAAGATACTGGCAAACATGTTGACTACACTCACAAAGGTGTTGAGCTTGCACATGAATTGTCCAAAAGGCCATCGGTGACTCTGAGAGAGAGAAATGATCGAGAAAATCAGGAAGGCTGTGAAGAGAAAGTCAGCTATGGCCAGGTTGAGAAACCAAACTGTCTCCACTGTTTTCTGCATTTTGAAGCCTGTCACGTAGATAACCAAACCATTGCCCAGAGTGCCAACTATAAATATCACACAGTAGATGACAATAGAGGCTGTTTGTATGTGTCTGGAAGCTGCTTCCAGCCCAGAGGATTGATATGCAGCTGAACTGATGTTACCTAAAAACAAAACAAAAAAGTTCGTGAAATCATATCACCTTTCACCTGATGACATTTAAAAGAAATGCTAATATGTGTTTAAACGATCTCACCATTCCCCATGTTCCTTTTAGCTGAGAGAGTCTGTGTTTATTCAATGTTGAACTTGATCTTTTGCTGCTTTTATTTGCTCTTGTTACTCCTCCCCCTCAGATTATGCACCAGAGAACAGAAACACCTTTATGTTTCTCCACCACACCTCTACCCATTTTTCTAATTACGCTAAAAAGGTTGGACAAACCTTAAAAGAGTAGCATTTATTGCAGTGCATTGTGTCTATGTTACATTTTCATTTAGTAACTCTTTGAGGATTTCAACACAAGATATCAAAACAGATAGAAGCATCAGGTGAAATATCAATGCTCTGTGGAAGGTGTGAAACTTGTAATCATGTGTTTTTGTCTTTTATAGGATCCCTATTAGCTGTGCTCTAAAGTAGAGTAATCCTTCTTGCATGCATTTGCTGCAGATTTTACATGTGTTTGCACATTAGTGATAAGCAATAGTTTCGTTTATCCAGTTTTGCAGGTAGGACTCACTTATGGATCAGCATGGATTGGCTTGCTGGGACTGTGATGAAAAAAAATTCTAGTTTATTCTAACATTCGGATTTAGGTGGTTTGAAGTTCACCATAGAGTTTTGCATAGCCTTTATTTGAAGGTCAATATGACATGGTGTAGCATGCTCAACTGTGTTATCTGCGGACTATATGAAAATTCCCAGGGAGAAAGAGAAAGATAGTGGGAGTGGCTCTCTGCCCAGCAGCAACGTGGGTGGGAAAGAAACTCTAAGGTACAGGAGTTGTGTGTGTGAAGGTATAAAAGACGAGCTGCAATGTCCCAAAGACAGAGCTGTCGTGACTGTAGAACTGTGATGTTTGATTTGTGTCAGCTCTCCTGCATGCAATAATTCAAAAAGCTTGGCCACAGCTGATCATGTTGCAGACTTTATTAACAGAAAATTCCATCACAGGACCAAGAATGAAGTGGGAAGAGTCTGATGGCATATTATGTTTTTTTTTACATTTATTTATTTTATTATGATTATTTTTAGCATTTCATTTGTGTAAGCAAAACTGTGCAAATGTTCATGTAAATGTACCTGCAGTTTAGTCTAGCCTCATCCACTGATGAGGAAATGCCAGAGAAAATACTGATAGACGACAGCAGGCAAACAAGTGACACACAGTCATGGCCTGAATAAAGATGTGGTAATAAACCGTACATAAAATACTCCCATTCTGCAATAAAGAAGATGGACAGGTAGCTGGTGGGTAGTAAATACATTCAGACAAGGGCTCGCATTTTAAGAGAGCTTTAATTCGTCTGGTGTTGTTGCTAAACCTGAAAATATACTTTATCGGAATTGACTCTTCATTGTAGGGGTGATCATATTCTTCCAGGATCCC